GTATGTGTATGTGTGTGTGTATGTGTGTATGTGTGCATGTGTGCATGTGTGCATGTGTGTATGTGTGTATGTGTGCGTGTATGTATGTATGTACGTACGTACGTACGTACGTACGTACGTACGTAAGTAAGTAAGTAAGTAAGTAAGTAAGCAAGCAAGTAAGTAAGCAAGCAAGTAAGTAAGTAAGTAAGTAAGTAAGTAGGTAGGTAGGTAGGTAGGTAGGTAGGTAGGTAGGTAAGTGAGTAAGTAAGCAGGCAATTAAGTAAGTAAGTAAGTAAGTAAGTAAGTAAGTAAGTAAGTAAGCAAGCATGCATGTCGGTGTATGTATGCATACAACATGCAGACATGCACGCATGCACGTATGTATGTATGTATGTATGTATGTATGTATGTATGTATGTATGCATGCAAGCGTATGTGTGTGTATGCATTTTTGTACGTTTGTATGTATGTATGCATGCATGTATATATGTATATATGACAATCTGCTGTCAATCCACCCACGAAGTTCCGCAAGGAGAGTTAGGTGAATTCCGAGTTGATCACCGACGAAGTGGTATCAGTATCGGAGCGTCTTGCAAACTCATGACCACCGAGGGTAACATGAATGCAAAGTACGTCCACTATGTGAGTTCAGAAGAACGGATCGCTAACGACAAAACCGAGGAAGTTGTCAACAGGCGATTATGCGACAGGCAAAGGATGAACTATCGGAGCGCTATAGAATTGTCAGCGCTCGAAAGCATGTGATTTCTAGTGTCAATATGAATATCATGGTCTTCAAGAGGACAAAGACACCATTGTGTACTGTGTACGAGTGCCGTGATCTCAGGAACGAGTTGAAAGTGCTTCATCTGTGTAGACATGACGTCAGGGATGAGATCAAGAAGATGTGCGAGGAGATGCGAGGAGCTTGAAAGCCAAAGGATCTATGCAAGCGCGACGAAAAAGAGCACAACAAGACGGTTGATGCGCTCCATGAACGTATTCGTCATCTGACCGTCTCCTGTTCCTGTGATGAGCAAACGATCTTTGATCATCAGCGGTTGAACGCCCTGTTAGACAAAGCCGCCGGGGAACGGGAGTTCAAGAAACAGATCACAAAATCTGAGAACTCTCGTGGTGGGTCTTGGCGGGAAAAGAGCAAATCTTCAAGACGACATCGTCCTCAACTGAGTCTATGGGGTGCGTTTCACCCCAGCAGATCGTGTTTCAGGTAGCATCGGAGCTCCTGCAGCTAAGAGCAGCGACAGTCTGACACAATCCCAACATGATACTCTGTATCACATGCTGGCATCATTGGTTTTGGTGGGATGGGTCGTTCCGATGGATATCGCGCAATGATTGGACAATCGACTTCGATTGTTCATGCCTCGGACAGTGGCGGACAAGGTCAGGATGGTGGTGATGATCCTAGCGATGGGCCTCGCGGTTTGGCGATGCTATGCCAACTTGACGTTCTGGGCCACAGCTATGGGATCCATCGTCGTCTTTATCTTCGTCATCTTCGTCTTCGTCCTCGTTCTCTGATTCTTCGTCATCATCCTGGTCGTCGTCAGATAGCAAGAAGAGAAAGCAGAAGAAGAATAATTTGAAGGTCACCAGAAGGAAGTTGAAAAAATTCAAGTGTCAACGTTTCCAGAGTTGAATCAATTTGATGTTTAGAAGTCTCAGGTCGTCCTGCTTGGACAAAATCGACAGTAAGAAATGGTGGAAGATTCTCGAACCTGTTTGGTCTCCGAAACCTAATTACCTAATTTGGACGGAACATGGTGAAGCGAGAGTATCGTACCATCGATGCCAAGATGCATTTGTCTTTACAGCACCTGCTTCGACAATCCGGCGACAGCGCGAGAACCGTCAGGGTTAAGGTTGACAAGTTGCGAAGAAACCGATCAAGACATGGCAAGATGATTTCAAGTCGGGAGATCGATGCGATGATTCTCGAGAACTCCAGAACCAGTGACAGAACTGATAGGTTGTTCTTGGCGGAGTACCTCATGCATCTCGAGTATCCAGGGGACAGCAAGATCTATGATTTCTTTCATCAGTGACAGCTCATTCTCGAAGGTCTGCGAAAGGAGGACATTCCTCCCCGCCGCTCACTTCAAGACATCCTCTATAGGAAGATTCAAGCTTCCAATGCCATGAAAACGGAACTTGCGTCCACCCACAACATCACAACTTTAATAAACAAGAAGTGACAGGAGTGAAGGGTTGTGAAAACCGTGAGCCACTGAAACGATTACCCGTCTGCAAACTCCCAAACTCTGAAGGAATGAGTGGCTGCAACAGCCAAAGAAGCCTTTCAGACGAGTGATTTGTTCCCTTGAGCGCGCGACAGCCTGAACTCAATGAAAAAAGCTCCCGTCGCCAAACTCTGAAAGAAGTGACTGGTTCTCAAAAACCCGCAAACCTAATCGGTGCCGTTGGGCAGCGAGCCCACGACCTACAAGGACCTACACAGAGTGACTCGTTCGGAGAAACCCAAAACCTCAAAGGAGTGAAAGGTTGCCAATACGCAAACCGGCAAAAGCGGCTGCGAAACACATTAAAGCTTCAACAAGCTCATTGGTTAAAAGCACCAGAGATTAAACTGTAAAAAAGGATTGGTTCGCTTCCTCGTTCGGGGAACACCGAAAACTTAAGCGGAGTGAACGGCTGCAGAAACCCTCAAAGTGGTCGCGAAACACCAATTGTGAATCGATCGCGAGAAACATCCTGCAAAAACCAAAACTCCAAAAAGAGCTGGTGATTGCGCCCAACCTTAAACCCTAAAACAGGTCAGTGGTTGCCACAGACCCAACCCAGAAGAGTGATCAGCTCCCCCAAGCCCAAAACACCAAGAATGGGTGGCAAGCCCAAACCCTAAAAATCACTGACGTGGATAAAAAAAACACAAGACCCAAAAACGGGTGACTCGTTCACAGAAGCTCCAAACCGTCTAAGGTGTGCACGTTTACGTTTACGAATAAAGCAAAACTGTGAATCGTTCGCAGAAACCCCATACCCTAAAAGGACTCAGTGGTTGCAAAATTCTTGAAACCCCTCACACGAGACTGCTTGCCAGGAAACCGAAAGGCCAAAAGGAGTGGTGGGTTCCCCAAAACCCAACCTCTGCGACAAACCTTAAACCCTAAAATGGGTTATATAACCGATTACTCCGACAAACATGTGTATATATGACACATGTACGTTTTTTGCTTGTCTGCATGCATTAGAACAAGAAGTCTCTATGTGTATGCGTGTGTGCATATATATATACATGTATGTATCATATACATGATAACTCTATATCCCCTTTCTCCTACTGGAAAGACACTTGCGGCTTGCAAGGGCTTGGAAGGGCTTCTTAGATGCCAAGATGCCAGGAGTTGGGAAGGATGTTCGAGAAGAGCCACCAATCTTGGTGTCGCAGCTGCCTCAGGTCGCTGTGCAGTTCAATAGCTTTTCACCCTAAGCTTACCTTGGAGCCTAGCCCGACTGGCCTTGATGCCAAACACAGATGAGGCTTGCAAAACTGCGCGCCCGAACACGTCGTCCTGGCGAAGTGAACAGACTGTTGTCTGAGCCTGTGTCACTGAACCCAACGGGCAAATAGAGAAAATACCACAAGCACTCTGCCTTCCAGTTTTCGCATGCATCCTACCAAGTCCCATCCTGCTGGACGAAGCTGTCCAACAGTGACATCACAGAGCACAAGAAACCACTACACCAGCGGAAGCAGCAGACACTACTTCTGCTCATGGGGATAAACATACCCACAGGAATGGTAAGGGCGTCCTGCTCCACCATGATGCCTTGCAGAAAGGTACCACAGGAGAAGTTGCTCCTCCTGTCGCGCCATCGACTCTGAGCAAGCTTCGGGAAGGCTTGTCTGGATGTTCTCTGGGAAACGGTTGATTTGACCAAAGGTGGCCGGGACTACGTACGGAAGCCGATGAACGTACATTTTCTAGTGAAGCCAATTAGTCGTCGAGCTTGTTCAAGAGCCTGTGTTTGGGGAGAGAGAGGGCCTCATATATGATCCCGATTCGGCCGGACCCCCTCCCCCCCGTGCTCCTGCCACAACAGTCCTTGCCAACAGCCCAGTACAGGACCTCAACGGGCCAATGCAGTGTTTGCATCGTCTGACCTCCGTTCTCACAGTTCACTACCCGGCCCGAAGCCTGCATGGCCGTTTGATGCTGCAGGACGACGGGCGCCACGCAGTAGATACTCCCCCTCCTGGGCAGCACACAACCGAGACGTTCGACAACTCATGCTGACGCAACTGGCACGAGCCAAGCTTCGCAAGGTGTCCTAGAGAATGCCTCTCATCGACCACAGTACCATCGACGAACTTTAGAAAGGATACCTTGAAAGGTCTTACCACATCTGGACGCTAAGGAAATTGGAATGTCCCTTGCAAGCCCGATCGTGGCATGGGGCCATGTCCACTTCGCGAGAGACATCATACGGATTTACGATCTGATAGCTGGAGGAGCGGTACAGCTGCCAAAACCTGCGGTCAGAGTCGGAATGTCACGAGTCCATGCAGTCACTTCATTGGACACGTCCCATGACGCTCGCAAGAGGCCTCTCCAAATACCCAGCTTCCTTGGCTCAACTCTAGCATCCGCGGGCGCACAACTTGCCCGACAAAGTGTCATCACGGGCGGCGGGAGTGGCTTTTGAAAAGCGTCCAAGCCTCCAGCCAGGTCCCCACAGCAGCTCCGAGTCCCACGGACGCGAGGCACAAGAAGCCAATGGCCATCAGGGTGGCGTTCCTCGTCAGGGCCATCTTTGAAAGGCTCTGAACATCGGAAAACATTCACGCGGCCCGCGGGCCGTGCAAATCTTCCCAGGCTGATGCTCAAAACCTGGCGGTGTGGGCATGTGTTTCCCATCATCTTCCCGTCGTTCAAGAAGTGCTGTCACGCTTTTGATGCTCTAAGCCCAGCACACAAAGCACCATGCAGCAAAGCTCCAGCATCCAAACGAGGGCCTGCTACGATTGAGTGCAGTACTCCAAAGGCTTCTGCAGGTTCCGCTCAATTTTCCGCAATTGCACACCATCTCCAATGCAAGAGCCCGAAACTTGCTTCACATTGACACTGAAAGCACCCAATTCTCTGCTGCTGGCCGCATGGTCGTGGTAGAGGCAGACGAATAAACTGAGGCTGAGCACCTTGGGGAAGTGCGAGTCGACAAGCGGATCGACACCATGGCATGTGTGCAAGGAATCCTCGTGAGTCATACGAGTCATACGTCATATGAGTTATGTGAGTCGTATGGACACTCTCTTGGAATCGATCTCTGTTGTCATCTAGACACCGGAGCACAAAGCACGCACACCCAGCCACAACATGACCATACGGGTTGGGCGGTTACGCTGGGTCCGGTCCGTGCGGTGTAGGTGAGCCCACGCTTTGCAAGGGGGGGCAGGGGCACCAATCAAGACTGGACTCGATCGCCTCGCCATTGTCAACTTCGGGGTTAAAGGAAAGTTTACGACAAATGAATTGGGATGAATTAACGCGGCATACCTTCCGTAGACCCCTATTCGGCTGGGGTCCACTGAGGTCTGGTTGCGCCTGCGGCCTTTGCAAGTGGCCACGCGCTCATGTAGGCACTTCTAGTAGTTGTTTCCAACTCGAGCCATGCACGAAAGTCTTCCACGGTTCTCAGTGAATCACGCTTGGCCCGGGAACCCACATCATGCATCCAATGCGGCATCTGTGGCGAGGGATTCCGGAGACGAGAACTGAGAGACTGCAAAAACATGCGGACACATGCGCTGCAGAACCGACTTCAGGAGCCACGAGCTACGGCTGCAGACAACCTATGTGAAGGCTTCCACGCAAAAAAAGGGAATATACAAGACATGCAGGGCTCACCCAAAAGTTCAACCAGCAACTTATGTGGCAAGAGCTCCACAACCACAAAGGCCCGAGACACACGCGATAACAATGGCAAGAAACGGAAGATTAGCCCCTGCCATCACACACACTGCAACTGGATGCAACCGGGGTCTCCACGAACGCGATCCATGGCATCAGTGTGGCCCGAATCTTGTCGCAGCCAGACATCCTACAATGCAGTCAGCGATGTGGCTCCATGGGTAGACAGAAGCAGTGCCACATCCTCGCGGCGATTGGATACGGCTGTGGAAGGAACAGCTCCGAGGCCTCCAGACTGCACAGGGAGCTCAGGCAACCAGGCAGCTGGCACTGTCACGGATTTCATCGCAAGGGCTGCCACGAGGCACGAGGCCTGATCTTCGTAAACGTCTTCCGCTGCACTGATGTCGGCGAGCTCTGCAGGCTCTGGCATGCCCAAGGTGCTTCGGGGAAGCCCCGGCACATCTTCGGAAGCGGGAATCAATCTTTCTCCTGCTATCACTGCCATGGGAAAGACGATTAATTTCAGACGACGTGAAACGGATGTTCGCTCCTGCTGACAGCCCCACAGGCCGCCACGACATGGCACCGCCGCTCACAAAAAGTTGTCAAGAAGCTCTAGCTCAAAACAGAAAACCAGCAAGTATCTACCAAAACTCATCGAACCTGTAGGGTAGTGAGTGCATCACAGCAAGCACCATGGACCACTAACGACTGCAAGACATGCCACGTGCGGAGACATGTTCTCTGTCAATCTCCATCCTGCCAGCAGCTACACGGAGTCCTGCTTGCTACTTAGAGATCGACTGAGTCCGATGCATCCCCAGCAGTTGAGTGTAGAGTGTGGCCCGCAGCGCCCAGGAGAAATCGCGATGACCTCTCATAACATCAGAACTGCTGTGCTGCCTGCGATGCACATCACGCTTGCCTTCCCTTGTGTTTTAGGAGTGCATCCCTCCCTGCCTTCCAAGAAGCCTTCTGCAACGACGTTCGCCGCGGCCTGTGGAAGGCGTGAGACGAGGAACACCGCCACCCAAACCAAGCGGATCTGCCTGCCAGATCAGAAGTTGCGTGTCCGATAATGTGGCAGTTGATACCAATCACGTTGAGCGACCCGAGTCTGTCGGAAGTGAACAGGCTTGGCAAGAAGCCGATAAGCACTCCTGCCACCACAGCTGCGGATCCCATCAGTTGCACCTGAGGCATGCAGCTCAACACGAGTTCCGGGGAATCACAGTGCAAGCCAGACTGAGAGTCACGCTGTGCCGTAGCTTTTGCGCAGCATGGCTGTCGATAGCATTAACGACAGCGGTACCACAGCCTGTCAGAAGCCACGGATCAAACACATTGACTTTAGCCAGCCATCCAGTCCTGCTGAAGAATCGGTGGCAAGTCATCATTGCCCACCCGAGGAATGCTCACAATCTCCAAGGAGTTCCTCAGGCTGAGACATATCAGGACTGCCACCAAAACTGAGAAGAAGCCGTCCCTATAAGCGACGAATTCGACAGAGCCACATCGCGCACAAAAACAGAAAAACAAAACTTACAGCAGGGGCGGCAGGCCCGGCAGGGTAGGGAGGAAAAGACCTAAATTCTGAAGACTGCATACCAGCAGAAAGAACCAAACGGAAATTCTTGTTGAAAAGTAGCAGGCTCTGAGCAGACAGGAGCGCCGCCAAGCGGAACCAGTATGTCAGATGACAAGAGCTTGCTCTCGAGTCCTACAAGCAGTCAATAGACTCGTCGTGTCGCGAGGAAGCGGAATCTTCCTGATTACAACTGCAGACTCATGAGGAGGCCAGTCCTTTGGCATTACCGTCAGTAAGCATCCCGAAAGCAGGGCCCCAATTGCAGCATTCAGCTGTGCAGCGAAGAAAGGAAAGTCATGCCTGGCAGGCTGTCGAGATGCGGCTACAAGTGACGTCACGTCACGAGCCACCGGATTCATGCAGCCGAGCATCAGATGGTGAAGCTCGGAATAATAAAGGCATGTGCTGACAATGGACACGACACAATTCGCAGCGCAGATTCCTGCCTGTCCAATTCTCCAGTACGGATTGCAGTCTTCCAGTGCCCAATTCTTACTGGAGATTCAGATGGCCGGCGTTGCTACAGGGTGATGTAGGACAGCCACCTACCCATGGTAGAAAGGCAGAAAAGCCGAGCTGCGATAGCGACACCCGGTGATGCTGTCTGGGTAGGAAGAAGCGACACACGTGGCTCGCGATTCATCCATCAAGCTTTCAGCACACCAAGCTTAAATTCTGCCCGAGCAGGTATGGACTAGTTTGACTAGTGGACCTCCAGTATGAAGCAAACGCAGGCGGGTGGACAAAATTCTCGTCAGAGATAGCTCCATTTGCAGATTCTCAGGCATTGAGCCACGCTTGAGACGGAACAGGGCAACATGTTTGCATTTCCAGCTTAAGCTCCCGTAGTCCCACAATCACAAGGAAGACACAGCAATGCGTTCCCTTTCTCATCGGGGATCCACCTCATTAGCTGGCTGTCAGCCGCTCGAAGGGGCAACTGATCTGCCTTTACAAGCATTAACAGCAGGCCATGATGTTGCCCTGATCCGCCTTACTGAAATCTGATTCAATGTGGAGTTGGCCGGGTGTCTCAAGGGCAGCACATTACTGTATCTGCGCGTAGTTAAAACAACGAAAACTCAAACGTAGATGCAACATCTTGGTGACGTCTAGCTTTAGCTTGTTGGCAGATTCGGCAACGGGATGGCATTGTTCCGAAAGAAAGCTTCCCGGAAGGTTGCACAGTGTTGGAACGCTCACTCTCGGTTGGACATTATCGGCACGGTGGACACTTTCGCGTTCCTCGGATCGAAGGCAGCCAAGATCAACATTCTGATCAGACAGTTTTCGCACTGGTGCACACTGCTACACCAAGACTGGACAGGATGGGTTTTCACGATTTCTACCCACCAGCGAAGCCGAGCCCGACATTCCTGGTTTCCGACTGCTACTGTTTAGGGTGACGTTATCGGAACCTTGGTGGTCTGGTTGTTCCACTTGTTCTGTGCGTGTGAATACATATAAAACCGAACACCTGCAACCTGCTGTCTTGCTTGATTCTCTTCCTGGTCGGGCTGTCTGTCTGCAGTGTCCTTGCTTTCCTGCCTGCCTGCCATCACTCTTGGACAGGCCGGGTTCGGCATGGTAGCCATAAATTGGTGGCAGTAGCAAACTGATGACAATAGAAAGTAGCAATGGTCGTGGTGTGAATGGTAATAGAGTAATGATATGTAGTAGTCATCGTTGTCCTCCTCCTGCTCCACCTCATTCTCGTCCTTCTCGTCATCGCAAATGTTCGCCGTCACTACGCGTAGGATTAACAGAAGTATGAGCAGTAGTCGTCGTCGTCGTCGTCGGCAGTGGTGGTGGTAGTAGCAGCAGTCTTGTAGCTGAGCAGTTGAGCAGTTGCGTGGTCGTCGTCGTCGTCACTGCTGGCATCGTGGTTGTGGAGTAGCTAGCAAGCAATAAAATGAGCAACAGAACGAAAATTATAAGTTGAATGCATCCAAGGATCAACCGTCGCACAGCTTTGTTTCGGCGGCCATCAGAACAAAGATTAGTTCAAATGAATGGCCAGCACCGCGATCTAGTTCGCTCCGACCGAAAATGCGATGCTGCCTCAATGCTCCTGAGGAAACCTCCGAAAGACACGCTAAAATCTACAACGACCTAGAAGAGGCAACGAGGGCTGGCCCAGGGTGCTTTCCCAGGATTGCCTGGCCGCATAGGGACTCGCACAAGCGTTGCCTGAATCGGGGCCCCGGCTACAAACTGCATCTATCTACTTGAGGCACTGCTTGCTTTACCAATGCTGACAACGCTTTTGTGCTTGCACTTAAAAGACGGAGCTCTCCTGATGGAAAGGTGTGTCCTCGACTTCCACGGCTGCCGGAGATGAAGCATCGGAAGTATGACAACTATGAGTGCGGAAAGACAGCTCCTGCTTTACATTTTTACGAGCAACAGCTGACAGGTTGAAGAGGACGCACCGTGCACGAGGGACTGCGCTTGACTGCAGCAAGTGAGGGCACACAAGAACAACTTCGGGATTTGTCTGCGACATTCTGAGCAGTATTCCATGCTGGGTGGCAGGGTGTCTTCTAGGAAGGAAGATGCTTCCTTCGCTTCCATTCGCCAGGCGGAAGGCGGTTTCAGTAACATGGTGTGCCATTTGGAGAACGGCACATCCGGAGCTAGTTGGAGGTGAAAATGCGAAAATCACATCGCCACCGGCCTCTCACTACCTGCATTGCCTAAGAGAAACAGCAATTAGCAATCAGTAAAGACTGATTCTTTGAGAAGCCAGAGCGGGTGCACTAACACAAATGTGGCAGCAACTCACGACGGAGCTTGGACGGCCAAGGGATGCAACCCAGAAACTAATATCTAGGTCTAGGGTGGCGGCTGTGGCGGTTGGAAAAGAACCGCACAGTTTGCAGCAGTTGTCGAAGCAAATTGCATGACGAAATATCTGTCATTCTTGCACAGCTGATCTGATGGCATTTCGGCCACCATTCGAAGACTTCCGCTGCTGCCTGAAAGCCTGGCGGAGATCTTGTGAAAGCTCTGCTTTTTCATGGCAGGGGTGGCTTCGAAGGAGTGCGCAGGAGCTACATGACATCCCAATAGCGCAACCGGCGCACCTCATAGCAACGACGCCAGGTCTGCTCCCACGAGCTGCTCTTCAAGCGGAGCACGTTCCTGGCTGCCAACTCCGCCAAACACGTGTCTCTTCTGCAGTTCTGATTCTCTGGAACACTCCCGCCTGACTTCCGTCGAACTTTGCATGCTTGGTCTCAAGCTGGTTCAAGCTTGTGTGCTGCACAGCTTCTACCTCGTCTGATCTCGTCTGACAATTCGAGCTGAATGCTGCTTCAGTGGTACCACTTTGAAAATTGCATCCTCGATCTTCGTCCCCCACTCCCGGCCTTGACTTTGGGAAAGCTGAGCCAAGTCATGTGGGAGCTCACCAGCACCGCCTCCCAAAAGTTTCACTGAATCCAGAGCGCTCCAGCCATGCGTCCAGCGGCCTGCTGGCTGCCCGGGCCAAATGAGGCCTCGTGCCTTACGCTGCGAAGCTCTGCCTCTGCCCTCTCCCTAGTGCCTGCAAAGTTCCGCTGCAGCGGCAAAGGTGTGAGATATTGAAGCCAACATGTAGAACCAACAGTACTATTGCATGTGTGATAATCAAGGTGAGTTTAGGTGATTGGCGTGTGCAATTTCGGGTAAGTGTTGCCCCGACAGAATGGAACGAGATCGGCAGAAACGACTAGCACCTCGGATGCAATCTTCGCCAGATTGACTATGTCCTTGAACACAACACCCCCGCCCACAGTGTGCTCGTTTGTGTAGTTCGTTTTTCTGTTCTTTCTTCTGGCCGGCTTTGTGGAACCGTTCGGCCCCCATGTGCTCAAGCCGCTGTGCGGCATATGCGAGTGCGGCGCCTGGCTGCATCTGTTTCCGGCGAAATGCTAACTGCTAACACTCCTGCTTGCTCCAAATGCTACGAGTACTGTCCAAAGGCGCATCAGCATTTGCCGAGCGTCATATAACGCGTCTACATGGCCCGAACTCCTCGGTTCGGTTAAGCTAAATGGACTGAAGAGTGCCTGCTTCCAACACGTGCAGCAGCAGGCCGGTTCTTTGTGTCTTTCGGTGGCGCAAAGCGAGTCCATGCGCAGGACCCCAAAAGTTCGGTGAACTCCTAAATACAATCAAATTTCAGTAAGTTTAGAGCGACTACTACCACCCTGTGGGTGAAGGAAAAGAAAAAGGTGTGGACAAAAAGCTGAGCAAGTGCGAACGATCATATAACCTCTTTGGTTTTCCCGCCTTCGGCCACAGGAGAAACACTTAAGAATCTAGCATGCTAAACGAGGCTTCAGCTTATAACTTGCAGGACTCCTGACCGCTCATCAGAATCTCAGCACAGGAGAACGCCAAAAGCATAAAAAGGCAAAACAACCTTAAAAGTGATCGCGGTTTCCCGCCTAGCCATTGGCGGCTCCTGCGGCAACCCTCTGCAGGTAGGGCTTTTGGAGCGCTTTGCAAACGCTTAGCCGCTTAGCCAAAACGATTTCCATGGCCAATGCGGACATAGAGGCACGTTGACTCCTGCAGCGAATAATAAACAGCAACCAAAGGAGATATGGTCTTCTAAGAAACCATCTCCGACAGAGGGGCATGGTGGCCGGAAAGGCAACCTGCTTGCAGTAAAGTTGTTGTTGTCAGGTTCAATGAATGGCCGGAGATGCTTGTCAAAAGCAGCCAGGACATGTCGTCTCGAGACACGGAAGCAGTGTGTAGAGTGTCGATGTCCAGGTTTGGCCAGTCTTCTGGTCGTTGGGACGAAAAAGGAGCACCCCCGATCTCCCGTGAATCAAAAACTATGCATAGAGGAGCAGACTGGAGAAGCTTGCAGGGAATGCGGCGGTCCCTGACATGCGAAGGATAATGACAATCACAATCCTGCCCCCGTGCGTAGGCCAGCTTTGCCTTGTGCCAAAGCCTCTGCCTTTCTCCTGAGGGCGCTCCGGGCGAAACCGAAACACTCCAAGTGGCTCCGCAACGTCGTCTCAAGAGATCGGCATGCGCTTGGAGCGTGCACAAGTTTCGGCTTGAGAGGCAAGCCGAGGCCAAACGAAAGCCATCCCAAACTACGAGAGAGGACGGAGCTCGGCGGAGGGCATTCTAATTGATCGCTGCCGAGCACATTGTTTCGTATGCTCATCCGGCTGCTGTTTCTGTCACAGTCAGTGCCACTCTTACTATTACTGTTGTTATTGGCTCCGACGTCGCGTAAACGCGC